CATGGATAGGAATTGTGTACTATCAAGTAACTTCTGTGTCAACTGAAAGGATTCTATGTTTTTTCTTTTTAATTTGTGAAGATGGTGAATTATGTACACTGATTTTTCAAATGTTAAATTAACCTTGCATTCCTGTTATAAATTCCACTTAGTCATGACGTATTATCCTTTTCATGTATTGCTGGATTTCATGTGTAAAAATCTTAAGAATTTGTGTGTCTGTGTCTGAGGAATAATAATCTGTGGTTTTCTCTTTCATAACATCTGTAATTTTAGTATCAAGGTAATGCTGGCCTTATAAAGCCAGGTGATAAGTATCATCTCCACTTCTATTTACTGGAAAGGTTTATATAGTATTGTTATTTTTTCCTTAAAAGGTTGATAGAACTTCCAGTGAAGCCATCTGTGCCTGGAGTTTTCTTTGTGGGAAGGTTTTAAACTATAAACACAATTTCTTCAAAATATATAGTGTTATTCAGGTTACCTATTTTTTTTAACCTATTTCTTTTTCAGTATGCTTTGGCATGGTAGTTTGTGTCTTTTAGAGAACTGATCCATTTCATCTAAGTTGCTAAATGTGTAGGGATAACCTTATTATCTTTTTAGTATCTGTAGACTCTGTGATGTTGTATCCTTTCATTCCTAATCATGGTAACTTGCATCTTCTCTCCTATAAAGCCTTCTCTTCTAATATACTCATTCAATGCTATGAATTTCCTCTAAATACTGTATCCTACACATTTTGATATATTGTATATTTATTTTCATTAAGTTAAAAATATTCTCTAGTTTCTCTTGTGATTTCTTCTTTGAACTAATTACTTAGTAGTGTGTTGTTTAGTTTCTAGATATTTTGGGATTTCCCAGCTATATTTCTGTTGTTTGTTTATAAATTCTATTGTGTTTGGAGAACATACTTTGTATTATTTCAATCCTCTACATTTGAGACTTTTGTTTATAGCCCAGAATATGGTCTATATAAGTGAAATACATTCAGTGCATACATACACTTGAAAAGAAAGTGCATTCTTGCTGTTACTAGATGAAATGACCCCTAAATTTCAATGAGAGAATGTGGTATTATTCAAGTCTTTCTAAATCCTTACTGATTTTGTTTCTTCTCTCAGTTTAGAGGGGACTGTTGAAATCTCTAACTGTAACTTGTATTTTTTTCCTTTCAGGTTTATCTATTTTTGCTTCATGTATTTTGCAACTCAATTATTAGGTATGCATATATTTATAAGATTGTTGATATCCTCTTTATTAAATAACTCTCTTATCATTATGAAATGCCAATCCATTATTGCAGGTTATATCCCTTGCTCTGAAATATACTTTGCTTCTTATTAATAGAGCCATTCCAGCTTTCTTTTGATAAATGTTCCATTCTTTTTATTTTTGCCCAAAAGTATCCTTACATTTAAAAATTGATTTCTTGTAGACAGTATATAACAATTGGGGTTCTTTTAATCCAATCTCACAATCTCTGCCCTTCAATTCAGCTTCTTTAAACATTTTATATCTGATGCAATTATTGATATGGTGGGTTTAAAAAAAAATTTTTTTTTTTTTTTTGAGATGGAGTCTTGCTCTCTCACCAAGACTGGAATGCAGTGGCACGATCTCAGCACACTGCAGCCTCCACCTCCCAGGTTCAAGCAATTCTCCTGCCTCAGCCTTCTGAGTAGCTGGGACTACAGGCACACGCCACCAAGCCCAGCTAATTTTTGTATTTTTAGTAGAGATAGGGTTTTACCACATTGGCCAGGCTGGTCTCAAACTCCTGACCTCAGGTGATCTACACTCTTTGGCCTCCCAAAGTGCTGGGATTACAGGCGTGAGCCACCATTATTAACATGTATACCTCATATATACATGGGAGGAACCCCAGAGAAATGAATAGCTAGCATGGATCTATATATGGTGTCCTTTAATCTATCTTGTTCAAATTCATTTCATTTTTTCTGCCTCTTTTGAACTATTTTATATTCCCTACTTGTGTATTTGCTAAACCTCTGTTTTCTTTGTTCTCATTGCTTATTCCAAGGTTTGCAATATATATCTTTATCTCACTCTATTTTCAAAGAGCATTCTACATCATAGGTGGTATATGAACATTACATGAGTATACAGTTGACCCTTAAATTGTATAGGTCCATGAGTTTGAACTGTATAGGTCCACTTACATGTGGATTCAACCAAATGCAGATAAAAAATATAGTATTTGTAGGATGCAAAACCCATGTATTACAGAGGGCCAACTTTATGTATATGCAGGTTCCACAGGGCTGAGGGACTTGAGAATACATTAATTTTGGTATACCTTGGGGAGTCATGGCACCAATCCCAAGTGTATTAAGGGGGGACTATACTTTTGTTTCCCTCACTCATTATTTATGCTAGTAAAGCTACTTTTGTATTCACTCTAAATAATAAATTATTTTATTATTTATATCAGTGATCTTCAAAAGAGACTAAGATATGGGGAAATGTCTTTATAGTTACCCAGGTATTTACCATTTATTCTTCACTTCTTCTTGTAGACCTAAGATTTCATCTGCTATCACTTTTTACTTGGAAAAGTTTTAGTATCTCTTAGCATATATCTACAAGTTATTAATTCATATACACCCTTTCTGTTTTTGGTCTATAAAGATCTTTAATTTAGGAAGGATTTTTTGCTAAGAAAAGGACACTGGGTTGACATTTCCCTTCATTACTTTAAACATTTTGCTCAATCTCTGACTTAATAGCTTTTTGATGAGAACTATGCATTCTTTTTTTTTGAGATGGAGTTTCGCTTGTTACCCAGGCTGGAATGCAATGGCACGATCTCGGCTCACCGCAACCTCCACCTCCTGGGTTCAGGCAATTCTCCTGCCTCAGCCTCCTGAGTAGCTGGGATTACAGGCACGCGCCACCCTGCACAGCTAATTTTTTTGTGTTTTTAGTAGAGACGGGGTTTTACCATGTTGACCAGGATGGTCTCGATCTCTTGACCTCGTGATCAAGGCCGCCTTGGCCTCCCAAAGTGCTGGGATTACAGGCGTGAGCCACCGCGCCCGGCCCTGAGAACTATGCATTCTTATCTTTGTTCCTCTGTATGTAATGTGTTATTTTCTCTCTGATTATCTGTAAGATTATCTGTTTTTTTAGCAAATTGATTATGATGTGCCTTAGCAAGATTTTCTTTGTTTCTTCTATTAGGGGTTTACTGAACTTCTTGGCTCTTCCAGTTTATAGTTCTGTGGCAGACAACTCCCAGTCATTTCTGCCTCATAGTATTCATGCCTTTATGTAATCCCTACCCCTTCAGTGTTGACTGATCCTATTAACCTGCTTTAATGAACAGAAAATGACAAAAATGACAGGTCGTCACTTCTGACATTAGGCGAAAAAAAGACTGTGTCTTGCCTACATTCTCTTTTTAGCTCTTCTTGCTCGCTCATTCTGTTAGCTGCCATGTTGTGAGCTGCTCTGCAAAGAGGCTTACGTGGTCCAGAACTGTGGGCAGCCTCTGGCCAACAGCCAGTGAAGAAACCGAGGCCCTAGGCCAACAACCCACAAGGAACTAAATCCTGCCAATAGCCACGAGTGAACATGAAGTAAAGTCTTCCTCAGTCAAGCCCTGAGATCACTGCAGCCTCAGCTGGATACCTTGACTGCAGCCATGTTAAGAATTTCTGAATCAGAGGGCCCAGGTGGGCCATGCAGAGAAACTGGAAATAATGTATGTTCTGTTTAAATCACTAAATTTTGGGAATAATTTGTTAACCCACTAAATTTGGGGAATAATTTGTTAGGTAGCAATACATAAGATAGTTTTCATCAAATGTGGAAACATTTTTTTCTATGATGGTTTCATATCTTTTTTCTTTCACATCTCCTGGGGACTCCAATTATACATATATAAAGACTAGTTCATCTTGTCTTACATTATCTATTGCTATGTTTTCCCTTTTGCCTTTTTTCCCCCCTTTTTTCTCTGTGCCTTATTTTGGATAGTTTCTATTGTCATGGCATCAAGGTTGCTAATACTTTCCTCTGCAGTGTGTTTTATCTCCAGAAATATGTGGGTTTCCCTTTCTCTTTTTAAAGATATACTCCACGTCTCTCTCATGTTCATGTTTTCTTTTACTTTCTTGATCACATGTGACATTTATAGTAGCTACATAAGAGAAAAAATCATTTCCTTCTTTCTGGGGGTCAGAGCCTACCAGCGCCTGTTGTTCAATGTCTGAAAACCATTATTTTGCGGGGCTTTTTTTAAAATTCCTGTTTTAGAAGGGAGGGTAAACCTGATTACTGTTGCTCTCTCTTGGCTTTAAGTGGAAGACTATTTATTTCTTTATAAAAGTCCTCCAAGTGATTCTAATGTGTAGCTAACTTTGAGACCCAGTGGGTTAGAAGCTTTGATTTTCTTAAAAGAAAAATTCCTTCCAAACAGGACACATTTTTTTCTGAGCTGATTAGTCTTGATGAATTTGAAAGCTTGTGTCCCAAAGTGCTACACTGTAGTTAGCTAATATCAAAGAAACTTTTCACTAAAAGAAATGTCCAATATTACTTGGCAAAGAAACTGAGAAACCATTATTCCGTGGAACAGAGTATTTCATATGGAGACATTTAAACTGAAGTATCCAATTAAAAGGTGACACAAAGTAATGTTCTAAAGCATGGAGGTAGGAATAATGAGGTGAAAAAAATAATCTTCCTGAGGCGAAAGGAAACAGAAAACTACTTACAGAAACCAGAAAAAAACATGTCCAATAGGAACAATATAGGTAACCATCACTTTTTAAAAATCAAATATTCACAGAATTTTACCAGTGTAACTTTTAAAATCATGAACCTTGTAAACTAAATAAAAAGGCACAAATACAAATAAATAAAACTTCACTTAGCAAAAAATAAACAAGATTCTCTTCAGTACCAGCAAATTTCATTAGTTCTATGTAGAGGTTTCTTCCCATCTGTCCAGATACCCTTCTGAACCTTACCCTTTTCCAAGTAAGAACGTGGAGCCCACGGCGGGTCCTCTTCAGCATAAGGATCACTATACTCAACCACAGCTGCTTCCTCCTCTTCATAATCTTCTGGGGGAGGAGGAGGTGGGGGAGACTCATCAAAGACTGGTTCTTCCACAGGTGGCGGTGGAGGTGGTGTATCTGAAACTAAGAACACAGCAGGCTGACAACAAAACTATACATTATGCGAAGTTTAGTATTTCCCATCCAAGCTTCTAGGTTCATGGAATATAAACCTAGACTTGAAAATATTCTTTCAAAAAATGAGTGAGCAAGAGAAGTCTTCCCACCAACTATAATGTTCCAGAGCTCCAAGAATGATATTCTCCCTCTCTTGCCCTTGGATTAGTGCTAATGGATACTGAATAAAGTTTAGACAAAAATAATTATTAACTGAGCCTCTGGAACCTGTTTATTCTAATACAAATCCTCTTTTCAAAGAGATCAGTATGACTGGGCGCAGTAGCTGGCACCTGTAATCCCAGCACTTTGGGAGGCCGAGGTAGGTGGATCACCTGTGGTCAGGAGTTCGCAATCAGCCTGGGCAACATGGTGAAACCCTGTCTCTACTAAAAATATAAAAATTAGTTGCACATGGTGGCAGGTGCCTGCAATCCCAGCTATTCAGGAGGCCAAGGCACAAGAGTTGCTTGAACAGGCAAGATGGAGGTTGCAGTGAGCTGAGATCACGGCACTCCAACCTGGGCCACAGAGCAAGACTGCATCTCAAAAACAGCAGAAACAAACAAAACAGAGATCGGTACAATATAGCTGAGCTTTACACTGTTTTCAAGGAAAAGTTATCAGAAATACTGATCATGAAAACCATATTTCACAGATTTTTAAAATCTTTTTTCACTTAAATTAGAATGAATCCAGGGAATAGTAAAATTTTAGTAATCCACTACTTTCTTCTTAATGAATTTTTCTAATACCAAATTCAAGAGGAAAAAAATAACAAACTTGGTTAACTTCATCTATGAAGATGTTTGTTTACTTATAGAATTTGTTCTAGTTCAGACTAATTTATCATTTAGAATTTCTTCAGGCTAAATGTCCAAGCATACTAGCAGAGTAATTTAAAACATCTCCCATGGAGTTCTGCTTCCACAGCTCTGATACCGATACACAGTAACATCAAAAAAATTATCTTCAAACTCAGAGACTTAACCTTTCAAAATAGTTGGTACATACTTGAGCACAGCTGAACACAATGAAATGAATAAACCTGTGTTTATCAGCTCCTCAGGTTTAATGAACAGCACTAATTCTCATTTAGGAGGTACCAGTATAGATGTGATCCTCTGAGCAATCCTATTTATTTAGTATTTCTAATGTAAGTCTACTAATTGAATTAAATGGATTTTTGAAGATTGCTGATTCCTGGTGGGAGGCAGCCACAGCAACACCATGCTTCTGTCTTATCTCAGTATTCTTCCCATCTGCTGTGCCCCCTCTATACTGATCTACTTTATAAACTTTAAAACTTCAGTCATTAAACAGAACATCTTTCATCCTAATAGTTTTTATTAACAAACAAAAGATATAGATATGTGACTTACTATATACTTGGGTGAAAAAGCAATGTGTCCTATTTCCATTTGTAAGATAAAAAGACGGACTTTAAACAATTGCACAGAACCACAGATCCAAAGGAACTTTAAAAACAATCACCTTGAGAAATGACACTACAAAATTACTCAAAGATGCTTCCACTGTTCATTTTTACTTTCCTTGTAACTGCCAGTTTAATAAACCACCACAATTGACTTAAAACGTTCCATGTTCAGCTAGACCTTTGTAATGCATTATTTCATTTCATCTTTACAGTGGGAGGTGGTGTTTTTCATTTTATAGATGTGGAGACTGGCTTTCCAAGATTAAGTATTCCAACAGAAAGTAGGTGGAAAAAATTCCAATGCCTATTATCTTAAAAGCTACACTACTATGAAATGACATAAATTCAAAAACCTTCAAGTATGCTTCATACTATTTATTCAGCAAACATTAACTAATATGGCTAGATATTATGCTCAGCACTGAGAAAAGGGCAGTGGGTAGAAGTCATGGAGACATGAACAACGAAACCTTCATTTGCAATTGAGTGTAGTGTGTGTTTTAAGGTACTACAGGAACACAGAGCATAAACAACACTTGTTATGTGGGTCAGGAAAAGACTTCCTGAAACCTGAAAAATGAGTAAGCATTAATGGGGAGGAAGGGGGAAGGTAGGATGGCATAGAGAAAGACATTTCATCTCAGATATAAAGAACAAAACAAGGCCAGGTAGGGAGGCTCATGCCTGTAATCTCAGCACTTTGGGAGGCTGAGGCAGGTGGATCACTTGACCAGCCTGACCAATATGGTGAAACCCAATCTTTACTAAAAATACAAATATTAGCTGCATGTGGTGGCACACACGTGTAATCCCAGCTACTCTTGAAGCTGAGGCAGGAGAGTAACTTTAACCTGGGAAGGGAATGTGGCAGTGAGTTGAGATGGCACCACTGCACTCCAGCCTGGGTGTCAGAGTGAGACTGTCACATACACACACACACACACACACACACACACACACACAAAGGCAAAACAAAGCAAGAAACTTTCTGTAAGAACTGTCCGAATTTCAGTAGCCAGACTCATGAGGAAGCTGAAGAGGATGAGGCAGGAAGGGCCTTACAGCAGTTTGGACTCTATCCAAAGAGCCAAGGAGAGCCAAGAAACATTTTAAGGGGAATAACAGGGTCGTAGCTGTACTTCTTACCCCAGTATAACTGGGTCACTACAACTGGTTACAAATTATTCCAGACTTCTTCCAAACATCAAACTTAATGCAGAGTAAATATCTGCTACCATGGAATATCTTCAAAATAATATACCTGGAAAGTTTTGAAGATAATTCCAAAAGAAAGATACATATCTTTTCAAAGTGAATGTTTTTAAAGAAATTAAAGACTTAAACATTATTTGAATGTTTAAGTCCTGCCATGTCTGTAAAATTAGTCACAGCACACCTCATACACAATTTTAATACATTGTGTACATGAAAAACATATATGACTGTAGGAAGAGATGAAAAAGACTAATCCAAAAGGCAATCAATTGTGATAGGGTGGTCAAATTAGGGAATGACTTTTAAAATATAGGTAGTGGTGCTTTAATAATGCTTTGCAATGATCTACTTAAGACATTTCTAAGTCTTTAATTGATACTCATGCACTTTAATATTATATTAAAACAATATTTAGATTTGGTTCATGAAACATTTTGCTGTTTCTACAAAGCTTGCAACTTTCACTGGTGACTGGCAAAAAAACAGTGAGATCCTGCTTTAAATCCTATTCAACTTTCAAGTCTCATTCTCTGCTAAGAAAATAACTACTTAGTTGCTATACAAACATTCATGTTTCATTAATGGATTAGTCTTCACTGTATCAGTTTCAAAATCTGGCCTCTACTCCAAACGCTGCTCAGAACCACTTTGTTCAGAATAAATGACAACATCTCACAGAACTTGCAGTAGCAATTGATTGGGAGAATTCTCTAAGGTGCAAGCTCATCATAAGAGTAAAAACAGAAAAAACGCCCAGGGTATTATTCAAGTGACTACCTTCATTAATCACTGTGATTAAACTGGATTTGTGACGGGAGAAAATTCTCTTTTACTGTAATGACATTTACTTAGATTTTGTACCTTGTATGAAGTACGTAGAATGGAACCAGCTTTGGAAAGTCCGTCAATTCTGGTACTGTAATTAAATTCTTTTCTACTTCGTACTTACCCTGTTTAGATGCAGCAGACATTTTTTAAAACCTGGGAACATGACCTTGTATCCCACATTTGACCTCACTAGCCTGGCAGAGGATCACACTATGGCTGTGCTGGGCACATGCTGAACTATTAATAGTTGAATCTTGCCAAGAGGCAGTTTTCTCCTCAAGCCAGTGTGGGTCACACCCACGCTAAAGAAAGAGTGGGCCCCAAATAGCATAATTTAAAACATATGAAATACACCTAATTATATGTGAACATAGCTCTGAAATTTAACAAAGCATTTTATGAAATCAGTATGGTAAACATTACAGGTGTTCATGGAGTACCTTCTAATAAACAAAAGTAAGTAAAATATACTATTTTCAGAAATTAGCAAATAGAGATGCAAAGGCACGTGAAAGACACTGAGCTCTGAGGCCAGTAAGACTGAATTATTAGTTAAAATACAACCACATCTAGAAGTTAAAATACAAACACATCTAGAAGAATATGCTGATAAAAGGGGGGCATTTAGCAACAGAAGCAGAAAAAAGGGGGAACCAAAATTGCCTGCTATGTATGTGTCAGATGCTTTTCCAAGTGTTGGGGAAACAGCGACCAAGTAATAAAGGCAAAAATTCTTGCTCTCACAGAGCTTACATTCTGGTATTGGCAATGCCCATTTCCAAAGAAGCAGGAGACCTAAGCCACAGATTACAAATACTTCTATCCCACTAGTGAGGTCATCCATCCTTGTTATATACACACTGGACTACTTTGGTCTGATGACATGAGATCTTTAATTAATATTCTCCTAGTTCGGAGTCATGCATATCATGCAATGTTATGACTGTGATGTGGCCCTGCACGAAGACTGCCCACAAGAAGAGGATTCGTCCATCATACAGACTATATTTTCACTAGTCTCTGTGATAGCAATTCCTCACTGAATGTTGATACAGGTCTCCTGATTTTTCATCAGTCTCCTAGAAGACGCAAGGTATCAACAAAATTGGTTACCTGATTCTGCATGGCTCAACACTAGACCGCAGGCCAAGGAAAATTCATTGCCAACCTATGAGGCCTTTTGGGAGACAGACTGGCAGCTTGGTCCTCTGAGCCCTACCATGCATGGCCCTGTTATCTGGAATCACAAAACTGAAGGAAGATTCTCAGACCACCTATAATAATACCCCTAAAACTCCAGTGATAAGAACTAGACTACCACTTATCTGAGCAACCCAGAGAAAAAGAATGGGATATCCAGTGGTTAAAGAATATCGCCTCAGTTGGATGTGATCTTTCTTTTCTTACATGTGCCTTATTATATATTTCTCTTACCTTTACTATTAGTTTTTAAGTTATTTAAAAGTAGGACATTTCTCTATTTTATCTCCACTAGCCATTCAGACAGTGACTTGTTCATAGTATTCACATGTTTGAAGTATGAGCAAATGAATGACTATCCAGTCAATCACAGATAAATGACATTTTATGCCTATAATCTGATCTACAGCATAAAGAAGACATAAACTTACTATTTTCTTGGACTCTGGCCACAAATCCCATTAAAGGTAACTGAGGAGTTACCTGTAGAATGGAGGGAGGAGGAGGAGCAAGAGATACTGCAAAAACAAAAAAGGTGTGGAGGATAAGGGATAAGGGCGAATTACATTAAAAGGAAAGGATAATACATTAAAATGAACACATAAAGGAGGGAAACTACTACACACAAACATTTTACCAGTGATCTTAAGGATCCCCTGTTGAGGGACAACTCATTAACATATAAAACAAGGTATTGGGGGAATTTTTAGTAAGTTTTTGAAAATTACAACAGGAAGCATTTATCATACATAGATATGTTAAGTATATATAACAATCTATATATAACATCTAATTGATCTTTTTAATATCATAACATCATGCCTTCTCAAGGAAAGAATTTCTGCAGATTACCATGATGTGGTTTTCTGAATTTTACCTCGGAAGGTTACAAGTTTAAATGTTTGTCAATACAGAAGAGAAAAAAAATATTATATCCCAACACTCTAAATGTATACTTCTTATTACTCTAATAATAGGCAAGTTCATTGATTCTTTATTCATTAATTAGACAAATATTTACTGACTTCCTACTAAGTGGCAAACACCTGCTAGGAAAACAGTATCAAAACCATCCTCTGAGACTCAAGTGCTATGTCATAATTTTTCATAATCCCAACTCATTGGAAATACATTTCCTCCCTGATCATATAGAAAAGTGCTGGCCTTCTGGAAGACAGTGTGGAGATTCCTTAAGGATCTAGAAACAGAAATTTCATTTGACCCAGCAATCCCATTACTGGGTATATATCCAAAGGATTATAAATCATTCTACTATAAGGACACATGCACACGAATGTTCGTTGCAGCACTGTTTACAATAGCAAAGACCTGGAACCAACCCAAATGCCTATCAATGATAGACTGGACAGGGAAAATGTGGCACATATACACCATGGAATTCATCAAAAACGATGAATTCGTGTCCTTTGTAGGGACATGGATGAACCTGGAAACCATCATTCTCAGCAAACTGACACAAGAACAGAAAATCAAATACCGTATGTTCTCACTGATAGATGGGTGTTGAACAATGAGAACACATGGACACAGGGAGGGGAGCATCAAACACTGGGGTCTGTCAGGGGTAAACAGTGGAGGGACAGTGGGGGGTGGAGAGTTGGGGAGAGAGAGCATGGTGAGAAATGCCAGATACAGGTGATGGGGAGGAAGGCAGCAAATCACACTGCCATGTGTGTACCTATGCAACAATCTTGCATGTTCTTCACATGTATCCCAAAACCTAAAATGCAATAAAAATTAAAAGATAAAAATAAAGGAAAAAAAAAGTGCTGGCCTTAATCAAATCATTTCACTCTCCTTCCCAAGGTGTCTTCCCCTATACCTCAATCACCTGGCACACTATCCAGAACTAGTAAGCAGTCAACAAATGTTTAACATATATAAATGCATGAATAAGCCAGGTATGCATGGAAACTAAAGAGACAAAAAAAAAAAAGATTACAGTTACAGTTTCCTTTAGAATGGGTAAAATGCATTTTCTTATAAAGAGAAAATCCCTCTATTAGCTCCATAATACAGTTAAGACTAATAAAACTAAAAAGATGAACATGTCCCTGCTCTCGAGGAGATCACATTCTATTGAAAATAGAAGTAAAATGACCTCTCAGCAGGGACTTGAAGAAAGGAGTCTGCCAAGCTGACAGGGGTTGAGAAAGATAATCAAGTTGAGAGAATCAAGTGAGGGCAAAGACTCAGAGGCATAAAACAGCATAACCAGTTCACAGGACCAGGAATGTTTCCATATGGCTAGGAAAAGATACCCAAAGAGAAAGCAAAACATGCAGAAATATCAACGGAGGATATGAAATAGGGAAGGATCTTACATGCCTGATAAAAGAGGTTGGACCTTAGTGGAAAGAGGTTGGACTTTAAAGTCACCCAGCCTCAAATCTCTGATCTATCATTTCCCGGCTGTTTGGATAGCTAGTCAATTAACTATTCCATAAATGTGATGTGAAAACAAGATAATGCAACCTACTTCACACGGTGGCTGCAAAGATTAAAAAAAAAAAAAAAAAGACAATGGCTGTGGAAACCCTAACCCAGTGCCTGGCACATAATAAATCAAGACAGTTTCTAGAAAAGAAAAGGAGGGAACTTTAAAAGTGTGGGAAGAGAGTACCTGGCAACTGATGATTTGGCAAGCATATCAAGGAGAGCAACAACAAGCTGAAGGTCATTCTTAAGAGTTTTACCCTTCATAACTATGAAGATGGAGATGCCATTAACTACTTTAAGCCTGGTAGGTAGTACTGGGAAAGAAATGGGCTGGTAAACAAGTAAGTCAGGGAGAGAGAATGATATGATTGATACATTTGGGTTGAGATTATGCAAAATATCTAGAATTGATGCTATGGATAGATGCAGGGAGAACATATAAATGCACAGACAAGAGTTAAGCAGATAATCTTGAGTATCTAGATGCAAAGAACAGAGGAGTATAACCTTAGAAATTGGTACCTTTCTTTAAAAGACAACTTTGGTTAGGTTTTTCCCTAAAGTCAAAATTCCTGGCAGTAAATCCTTGACTTATGTGTCTGCTTCCCACTCAGAGGCTTAGAACAACTGTTGATGTTTATAATACCCTGTTTCCAAGGGTAAGCAGAAGACAATGAAAAGAGAAGGTAGCACAGACAAGAAAGATAAAACTGAGAAACAGTAGCAGACAGCAACTGGCACTAGAAGAGTAGAGACACAGCACATGTTCACATCAAAGATGAAATGCTCCTCTTCTGTTGGCATATATCCTAACCTTCTACGTAACACTGAAGTGGGAAATTTCCTACTTCAGTCACTGTCTCTCTACTAAATATTTTAAAAATGACCTTTTGGTACTCAGTTAAAAAAGAATGATCAGGTGCTTAACCTACAGTAGTCTTTTTGTGGGTAGATTGAGGGTTTTTTTTTTTTTCTTTTTGTTTTTAAGATGAATATGCTTATTTCTTTTCTACTTCTGAAAGCGAGAAATCTGAAGCCGTAGTGGTTTTAAGAAGTCCACTAGCAGCTAGGCACGATGGCTCATGCCTATAATCCCAGCACTTTGGGAGGCCAAGGCGGGAGGATCACCTGAGGTCAGGAGTTCAAGACCAGCCTGGCCAACATGGTGAAACCCTGTTGCTACTAAAAATAAAATAACTAGCTGGGCATGGTGGCACCTGTAATCTCAGCTACTCAGGAGCCTGAGGCAGGAGAATTGCTTGAACCTGGGAAGCAGAGGTTGCAGTGAGCTGATATCACGCCATTGGACTCTAGCCTGGGCAACAACAAGAGCAAAACTCCATCTCAAAAAAAAAAAAAAAAAAGACGTCAACCAGCAGCAGCCAGGGAAACATAAATCCCAGTTCTTCCTTAAAAGAATAACTTGGTAACAAGTCAGATTTTTTTCAAAGCTAGTCTAAGGCATGTTCAAAAATTCAGTTCCATTTGGGGTTACAAAGGTCATCCCAAATTTTACTTTTCTCCAGGGCAAACCTTTAACAAGATGGTCCAAATTAATTCAGATACCACAACATTTTCTTATTGGACCGTGTAAGGCTTCATCTGAATACTGTCAGAATATCAGACAAAATAAGCACTCTAAATACTACTTCTAAAGCCATTACTGAACATCACGTTTAGAGGGCATATACATGTTATATAGCCCATGTAAGTTTATATAGCCCATGTAAGTATATAGCCCATGCAAGTAATATTTTCTAAACATGAACACCAACTTAGAACAAGAGGTATGTAAAAGTGAATTTAGGCTGGATGTTGTGGCTCACACCTGTAATCCCAGGACCTTGGGAGGCCAAGGCAGGTGGATGACTTGAGGTCAGAAGTTGGAGACCAGCCTGGACAATCTGGTGAAACCCTGTCTCTTTAAAAAAAAAAAAAAAAATGAGCCCGTGGTAGCACACACCTGTAGTCCCAGCTACTTGGGAGGCTGAGGCAGGACAATCACCTGAACCCAGAAGGTTGAGGTTGCAGTGAGCTGAGATTGCTCCACTGCACTCCAGCCTGGGCAACAAAGCAAGACTTTGGGGGGGGGGAACCTTCCTGCTCCTGCTCCTTATTTATGCTTTGCTAAAGCCCCATCACATCAGTATTCTGGACATTTTGGACATTTATGGTGATGTTATAACTTCGCTAATCATTTAAAGAATATGTGATATGGCTTTTATTTTGCCATAGCACCATCCCAACATTGTTTTCTATTTTTTTAGTGGCTTTAAATACCATTCAGGGGTTATTAAGCCTGACATTTTCTCTTTGTGAAACGGCATACCCATTCAGAAACTCCTATATCTCGCAGAGCTATATACAGATACATCTCTCGGAACCAATATTCACTTTATGAGCTAGATTTTTTCAAAAGCTTTTAAGAAAATATGAGCAGTAAAATACAGACTACTTTCTACTAAAGGCTTCAATACTCAAATGTTACATTATTGATTCCATAACAAACAAGGTTTATGTAAGTATACATATAAATACTTAACGTGCAGATATATGTATATTCTTCTTCACCACCAAGATGCTTCATATTTACATTTAAAGACTGTTAATTCAGCTCTATCTGTTTCTATGACCCCCCCTTACTACTGGCAAGATGAATGATAAATTGGTATTCCTATTTCATTGACTGGATTAGATTAAGAAACAATGAGACCCAAAGAGATTTCAGTTCTGCCCGGATCAAAGGGTTCTTTCAATAACTTGATTCTCAAATAATCTCATTCAAAAACAATTATTGTGCTCCTAAGACTTGGCACTAGATACTGAGTGTTCCATATTTTAACTCCTCTGTTATAATTGCCCCTTTTCAAACTCAGATCAAATTGTACATTAACAAATATAGTAACAACACTGCTAGATTTACACCTTACAGAACCCCACTGAATTTATATTCACATGAATCCCTCCCCAGATTGTCAGCTCACTTCTTCAGAAGCATGCAACCATGGCAAGTTGTCAATCACACACACACACACACACACAAAAAAAAAGCTCATAAAACACTTTTCTTGTTGTTGTTGTTGTTAAATTAGAGAATTAGCTACTTGAGAAAGCTCAACAAATATTCTCATTGGAAATATGGGGAAAAAAATAGGTACAATCACAGGGCCTGTGGGAGTAATACAGGAGACTTACATAATTTTTTTTTTGAGACAGGGTCTCACTCTGCTGCCCAGGCTGAAGTACAGTGGCACAAACTCAGCTCACTGAAACTTCCACCTCCTAGGCTCAAGTGATCCTGACTCAGCCTCTTGAGTAGCTGGGACTGCAGGCATCTGCCACAGCACTTGACTCATAAACAATATTCTAATGAATATAAAATAAAAATGCATCTAACAGCCTTAGAACACTGATTCACAAAGCATTAAGTCTTGCACAAAGAGCTTTTCCAAGAAAATGGTTTAGTTAAAAAAAAATTCATTTTGGAAAAAGTACTCTGATTAACCAACTAACAATGCTGTCGTTACCCACTTTAAACAGTTACCAAATCCCTGGAGATGCAAAGCAGAACTTAATAGAGCAGAGTACAGAAAAACAAAAAAGTGCAACTACACTGCCTCACACATTACACAGAAAGCCTAACAATCCCAATTCACCTTATTTCCATGAGTGAGAAAAATACTTTCATTAAAATCATTCCTTAAAGTGGGGATATTTTTACTTTAACAGACTTTCAAGCATGTGAAAATCAGATTTACAAAGAAACTACTGAAATACGTATTTTAAAATACATTTAAATATGTGCTTAAACAGCCTTCAAATAAATTCTACCTACAGGGTTCTCATAGGACTATTTTGGAGCGTACACGAACAAAATATGAAATATCCCTGTACAGGCCAGGCACAGTGACTCATGCCCGTAATCCCAGCACTTTGGGAAGGCCAAGGTGGGTGGATAACTTGAAGTCAGAAGTTCAATACCAGCCTGGCCAAGATGGTGAAACCCCGTCTCTTCTAAAAGCACAAAAATTAGCTGGGCCTGGTGGCAGGTGCCTGTAATCCCTGCTACTTGGGAGGCCAAGGAAGGAGAATCGTTTGAACCCGAGAGGTGGAGGTTGCAGTGAGTCAAGATCATGCGATCGCACTCCAGTCTGGGTGACAGAGAAAGACTCTGCCTCAAAAATTAAAAAAAGAAAAAAAATTAGCCAGGAGTGGTGGTGGGTGCCTGTAATCTCAGCTACTTGGAAGGCAGAGGCAGGAGAATCACTCGAACCAGGAAGGGGAGGTTGTAGTAAGCCAAGACTGTGCCATTGCACTCTAGCCTGGGCAACAAAGCCAGACTCCATTAAAAAAAAAAAAAAGGCCAGTGGCACACATGTGTAATCCCAACACTTTGGGAAGCTGAGGTGGGTGGATCACAAGGTCAAGAGATTGAGACCATCTTGGCCAACGTGGTGAAACCCCATCTCGACTAAAAATACAAAAATTAGCTGGGTGTGGTGGTGCATGCCTGTAGTCCCTGCTACTTGGTAGGCTGAGGCAGGAGAATCACTTGAACCCAGGAGGTGGAGGTTGCAGCCAAGATCGTGCCACTGCACCCTAGCCTGGCGACAGAGGGACACTCTGTCTCAAAAAAAAAAAAAATTCCAGCATATATTTACTATATATCATGTATAGTTGGTCTCAAGCTCTAACAGTGAAGCAGCTCTCAGCTCTGTTATGGAACCAACCCATTTTGGACTAACATCATTCTTTCAAAATTCTACTTAAGAATAAACAAGGGGCATTAGGGCCATAAACAATAATTGTCTAGGCTTCTGAGAGAGCCAAGGAGACAGCCCATCTTCAGCAGAACTAGGAAACAGGCTATATCTAAAATTTGAAATTTTTATAATCTAAAATTTAAGAAAAAATCAATTTAAATACAAAATAAATAACACCTGAACAGATGTGGGTTTGAAAACATAGTTTAAAAGGAGAATGTATAAAAAGGGCACTTTTGTCAAAATTTAAGTTCAGAATGAGTTTAAAAGAATGGCACAGCCAAAAACACTAAATGTGATTAAAAAAATATAGAAGTATATATCAATTAAGACCGTTGGCATTCACACTATGGTTTGCACTGGTTGGACTACAAACAGAGGATTTAATTTACAAGAGGGACCCAGAACAGTGGAGGGATTTGGAAAAAGGAACAAGGGATTCATTTAGCATTCAACAAACAGTTCCTGAGAAATATTCCAGGATATAACAGTATAAAAGACTGACTAGGTCTTAGGCTTTCATACACTTTATATTACATCCTTTCATCCTCCTTCCCCACCAAAAAAAAAGATGACTTGGGGGGGGTTAGAAAAAGATTTTTTTTTTTAACATGTAGGTAGGACAATAAAACATGGAACTTAGACTGGGTATGGTGGCTCATGCCTATAATCCCAGCACTTTGGGAGGCTGAGGTGGGTGGATCACTTAAGGTCAGTAGTCTCAGACCAGCCTGGACAACATATTAAAACCTTGTCTCTACAACAAAATGCAAATTTCAGCTGGGCATGGTGGTGGGTGCCTGTAATCCCAGCCTAATCCAGAAGGTGAGGCAGGAGAATCACTTGAACTCAGGAGGTGGAGGTTGCAGTGATGAGATCACTGCACTCCATCCTGGGCAACAGAGAGAAACTCAATCTCAACTTAAAAAAAAAAAAAAAACAGGGGCTGGGCACAGTGGCTCACACATGCAATCCGAGATCAGGAGTTCAAGACCAGCCTGACCAGTGTGGTGAAACCCCATCTCTGCTAAAAATACAAAAATGAGCCAGGGAAGGTGGCACATGCCTGTAATCCCAACTACTCGGGAGGCTGAGGCAGGAGAATCACTTGAACCCAAGAGGTGGAGGATGTAGTAAGCCAAGATTGCACCACTGCACTCCAGCCTGGGCAACAGAGTGAGACTCTGTCTCAAAAAACAAAATAAAAAAACAGAAAGAACATGGAACTTAAGAGCCAGAAAACCTAAGTTCAAATCCTAACCTGACCATCACTTCAGCCTCATTTTCCTCACCTATAAGATACACACCAATCTTATTTTGTACATGATTCTAAGAATCAAATTAGATAATATTAAAACATTATTTAAATTAAGTGTTTATGTAGGAGAATCAAATTTCTTCTGCAAGACTCTTTCAAAGTATATCACTATAGGTCGTAGCCACAGAGAGAAATTGCAGCTCCATAAAATTCAAGGCTTATCAAAGATGGAATGAGCTGAACCCAATATCAGAGGTGTTCACACACAGGCTTACTGGCTTCTTGGCAAAAATACAGAAAAATGCAGTAAGTGGACATACCATGTCCACAATAGTCGTGGTGTCTAATATCTGTTCTTGCCCTCTCTCGGAAGTAAAAATAATTATGTATAGCATTAAATATGTTCCAGATTAACTGTTCTATATGCATGATACAACCAATTATTTAGTGTAATTATTAGATCTGATTCAATTTACCCAACTCCCGGTTTTTTCACCATGGGTTTGGTATGAGAATTGAATAAGCTAGTATAATTCAAAAAGTAGCTTTTCAGAAAAAAGTTTCTCTTTTCCTTTGCCACTTCTAAATTCTGTTCATGTGCACCCAACTTTCACTATTTGTTATTTATAGAACAAGGATGTCTGATTAAAAAAGGAAATATCATTCACTATAATGTTATTTTAAAAAGCAAAAAGCAAATAACGACTAAAATATTCAAAAAAAACTGCTCAGAAAAATTAAGTTCTGTGACTTTACAAGGAAATCATGTATTGATTTTTTTTAAAGAATTGAAAGATATAATATTAGCAACCTACAATTTATTCATTCTCCCATTCATTCAACAAATGGTACTAACCACCTACCATATACTATTTATTTGTAATTAAGGATTTTTTATAGTTGAAGGTTTTTAATTAGATATATTCTGCAGAATGCAAAAAAAAAAAAAAATCTAACCTGGATTCTGGCTATAAAAAGGTCCTCCATTCATCTGATTCTGAAGGCTTGTTTGTGAAGTAATGGAAGGAGGACGTCTATAGGGCAGGGAGCCCCCTATTGTTGGGGGAGTATGGCGAGAGGCAGGCCTATTCATGCTGTAAAACTGTACAGGATGACCTGAAAAAGAGATAGAACATAAATCTGTCATTAAAATAAAATTATCTCAGATAATTAAATATTTTATGTACAATGCCTAAATCTTTATTATTTTTATTTTGAGACGAAATCTCACTCTTGTTGTCCAGGCTGGAGTGCAATGTCACAGACACGGCTCACTGAAACCTCCACCTCCTGGGTTCAAGCAATTCTCCTACCTCAGCCTCCCAAGTAGCTGGGATTACACGTGCCCACCGCCATGCCCAGCTAGGTTTTTTTGTATTCTTTTAGTAGAAACTGGGTTTCACCATGTTGGCCAGACTGGTCTCAAATTCCTGACCTTAGGTGATCAGCCCACCTCAGCCTCCCAAAGTGCTGGGTTTACAGGTGTGAGCCACCACCCCCAGCCCGATACCTAAATCTTAATAATTAAAAATAACAGCCAGTTTAACTGGAGTCTGAATTACATAATGCAAGGTGAGTTATTGTTCACTGGTATTGTAAGAGAGTACGAAAGCAGAAAAGCAAACCAACATATGATTAAGTTTGGAAAGCTACATCTAAATAGTTTAAGAATTAGGGCTGGGTGCCGTGGTTAATACCTGTAATCCCAGCATTTGGGGAGGTCAAGGCAGGCAGATCACTTCAGGTCAGGAGTTGAGATCAGGCCAACATGGTGAAACCCCATCTCAACTAAAAGTACAAAAATTAACCAGGCATGGTGGCATGCACCTGTAATTCCAGCTACTTGGGAGTCTGAGGCATGAGAATTCCTTGAACCTTGGAGGCGGAGGTTACAGTGAGCAGAGATTGTGCCACTGCACTCCAGCCTGGGTGACAGAGTGAGACTCTGTCTCAAAATACATAAATAACAGTTTGCTAATTAACATTATTTCATTAAATTAAAAATCTCATGGAGTTTCAAAATCATCACAATTAACTAAAATGCATCTATCCCACCCCCAAAATATAGCCACTAAACACTGAAAACTAAAGTCAACAACATTGACATTTGGGAAAACAAAAGAAAAAAATGTCTGACACAGTCTTATTCTAAAATAATAAGTAATAATATAAGGTAGCAAAAAAGTTTGTTTAAAGGAAAATAGGCTATTTCAACAAAAGGTTAAATGATGTAATTCCAAATCAAACATTTCTTTCATTAATCAAAAAATCTCCACAAAAGCTACATCATTTTGTCTTAAAAAATCTAAAAAACTTACAATCATGGAAAATAACTAAGATATAAAAAGAGGGTCAAAATATATCTTATTCTTAATATCATCCCTAAGTCCATACATAGTTATCATTAATTTCACTATATTTTGCTCTTGTGAGAGATCCTCCACAGCTGTCAACTGAAGACATGATTCCATAATCCATCAATTTCCTAATAATCCACTTCCTAAACTTTACCTTAACTCTCACTTACATTCGGCTGAGAACTTTTTCCTTACATAATACTACAGCACCCAGGAGAAAGCACACCAGCAGACAAGGGAGAAGGGAAGGGCAAGAGAGAAGAGGAAGGGGAGAAATAAGTAAGTGGAGAAGGGAAAAACAGAGGGGAAACTAGTGGAGGAGGAGAAGAGGGTGGAGGAGGGAAAGAGGACAGAGGAAGGGAAAAGAAAGGAGAAAGAGAAAAGGAGGAGAGAAGTGAAAAAGAAAAAAAACACTTTTGCTAAACCCAACAGGAAGCCAGAGTGCAAAAGAATCCACTGAAGCATTTCATGGAGGTCATTGTACTGGAGAAGAGAGGAGAGTGGAGGAGGTGGCACTGGGAGAACAGATGATACCCGGCACACTCATCTACCCAATTGTGCCTGAGGTTATCATGAAATTTTTTAAATTTTAAAATAAACTACTTGTAACACAGTGAGATAAGACTTATGTAACATAGAATTTGATGAACACTTGTTTGATTTGTTCAAATCTTCACAACCAAACAGTGCAGTCATATCCTCTTCCAAGCTTCATATTTTAGTTGAGTCTTATCATCTTTATTCTACTTTAATATGAGACTCTCTTCCTGGTAATTTTAATTAAAAGTATTAGAGAAAAAAAACACTTTGATAATTTTTATCTTGTTTATGATATAAAATGGTTTGACATGCCTAAAATTGCTTTACTCCATAAGTTTATCAAGCTTAGATTCATATGGAGTCATATAAAGATTATAAGGGCACTCAAGGCTGATTATAACACCTAATCATCTTACATGTGTATCAAAAACCTACAACTCAATTGTGTTATATAAAATGTTAAGCACTCAAGCACTCAAACAGAATCCACTATCAATTGAGAAGCCTTTGTAACCACGATAAAAATGAAAACAGGACGGGCGCGGTGGCTCACGCCTGTAATCCCAGCACTTTGGGAGGCCGAGGCAGGTGGATCATGAGGTCAAGAGATCGGGACCATCCTGGTCAACATGGTGAAACCCCGTCTCTACTAAAAATACAAAAAATTAGCTGGGCATGGTGGCGCGTGCCTGTAATCCCAGCTACTCAGGAGGCTGAGGCAGGAGAATTGCCTGAACCCAGGAGGCGGAGGTTGCGGTGAGCCGAGATCATGCCATTGCACTCCAGCCTGGGTAACGAGCTAAACTCTGTCTCAAAAAAGAAAAGAAAAAAAAGAGAACATATAAACTATGATTTAAAAGGCATATGTAATTATTTGAACCACTGAATACAATTATTAGCATTTCAGTAATTATAACGAAGTAATACAAACTTAGGATCAAGTTAAAAACATCTAATGATTAACATCATTATGAATTTTATGTAGTTAGATCCAGTCTAAAACCTAGCTCTAACATGGGCAGGCTGCAGTGGCTCAGTCTGTAATCCCAGCACTTTGGGAGGCAAAGGAGGGCAGATCATGAGGTCAAGAGATCAAGATCATCCTGGCCAACATAGTGAAACCCCCATCTCTACTAAAAGTACAAAAATTAGCTGGGTGTGGTGGCATGCACCTGTAGTCCCAGCTACTCAGAAGGCTAAGGCAGGAGAATCACTTGAACCCAGGAGGCGGAAGTTACAGTGAGCCTCGATTGAGCCACTGCACTCCAGCCTGGTGACAGAGTGAGACTCCATCTCAAAAAACAACAACCACCAAAATAAAATCTCATATGTTGTAACTTTGCAGTGATTCAAAGACATTACCTTAAAAAGATACTATTCACACATTAGTAATGAGAGATTTGCCATTTGGGGTTTTAAAAACTATGAACTTAATTATCATAAACCTAATGATAAAATCTAAAACTAAAAACTTCTAGAAGAAAACACAGAACAAAAGATGACTTCAGATAGAGATCTTACATAGGCCACCAAAGTACAATTCATTAAAATTGAAAATAACAGTTAATCAAAATGAAGAATTTATGCTTTTTGAAAAATAACATTAAGAAAAAAAGTGAACAGACTGGGCCCAGTGGCTTATGCCTGTAATCCCAGCACTTTGGGAGGCCAAGGCAGGTGAGTCACCTGAAGTCAGGAGTTCGAGACCAACCTGGCCAACATGGCGAAACCCCATCTCTACTTAAAATACAAAAATTAGCCAGGCATGGTTGTGGGTCCCTGTAATCCCAGCTACTTGAACCTGGGAAGCAGAGGTTGCAGTGAGCCAAGATCACACTATTGCACTCCTGCCTGGATGCCAAGAGCAAAACTCTACCCCTCCCCTGCATCAAAAAAAATAATAATAAATAAATAAGCAAACAGGCCAGGTGTGGTGGCTCATGCCTGTAATCCCAACACTTTGAGAGGCCGAGGAGCGAAGATCACAGGGTCAAGAGATCAAGCCCATACTGGCCAACCTGGTGAAACCATCTCTACTAAAAATACAAAAATTAGTTGGGCGTGGTGGTACACGCCTATCCCAGCTACTCAGGAAGCTGAGGCAGGAGAATCGCCTGAACCTGGGAAGCAGAGGCTTCAGTTAGCCAAGATTACCCCACTGCACTCCAGCATGGTGACAGGGCAAGACTCCATCTCAAAAAAAAAGAAAGAAAAGAAAAGAAACAAAAAAAGAAATAAACAAACTGGAAGAAATATCTGTAACTCATAATCTCATAATCTATGAAGGACATGTATTTAGAATATAAAAGAACTCAATGATAGGGGGAAAAACCCCTATTAAAAAGGTGACAAGCAGCAAAACATCTCAACAGATACTTCACCAAAGAAGATATACACATGGCAAACAGGCACATAAAAAAAATGTTCAACATCATTAGTCATTAAGAAAATACAAATCAAAACCACACATGTAATGAGAAACCATTACACATGTACTGGAATGGCTACAGTTTAAAAAGGCAACACCAAGTGCTGACAAGGATGCAACTGGAAATTTATACATTGCTGCTGGGAGTGTAAAATTGTACAGACACTTGGAAAACAACTTGGTGGTTTCTTATAAAGTTTAATATTTACTTATGACCCAGCAATTCTATTCCCTAGTATTCACCCGAATAAAATAAAAACCTATGTGTACACAAAATAAAACCTGTATGTACATGTTTATGGCAACTTTATTCATAAGCACTCAAAACTGGAAAAATCTAAATGTCCAGGGATAAACAAATGTGGGACATCCTTAATACTTAAACATGCAACAACATGGGTAACTCTAAAATGCATCTGGCCAAAAGAACAGACCAAAAAAAGCTACATACCATATGCTTCCATTTATGTGTTATTCATAAAAAGGCACAGCTTTAGAGACAAAAAACACATCTAGGGCTTACCAGGAGCTGGGAGTGGAGGGGAAGGACTGACTATAAAGGAGGCATGGAGGAAATTTTTGTGATAATAGGACTGTTCTATATCTTGATTATGGTACATGACAGTATATCTTTGCCAAAACTCACAAATATGCATGGTATAATGGGTGAATATTACTGTACATGTTATACCTTAAAAAAAAAGAAAAAATGTTTGGTGACTCAGATACTGTATAAAAGAGATTATACTGATAAAAATTATTAACAAGGCATTTATCTTGCTTTTTGTTTTAAAAACCACAGTTAATTATCCTCTCCCATACCAAATGTTTACTTAGTGAACACTGAGCCAGGCACTTGTTAGTCGATTAATATTTGATTACTAAAATATAAACTCTCAGTTGGGGGTGATTTGTCATTTCTGATACCTTCTTTATTAAAGTAGGACCATAATGAGATTCCTATATTTAACTAGTTAGTCTGGCCGAACAGCTGTATCCAGATCAAGAAACAGCCCATGTTTACATGTATCCACTGTAGAAAGCTTTTCTTTAAAAGTAATACAGAAGGAATACCATAAGACACCATGCAAAATCCATTTTGGCTAAAAGTGTCTTTTAAAACATATAAAGATCTTATATATGTTTAACATGTATAACAGCAAAGTTGAAAATAAATGCTATGAAGTTTTTATTAGCAAGTGGAACACTAAGAAGATTGATATGCTTTGAATCTGTGTTCCTGCCCAAATCTCAAGTCGAACTGTAATCCCCAATGTTGGAGGTGGGGCCTGGTGGGAGGTGAATGGATCACAGTGGCGGTTTCTCATGGTTTAACACCATCTCCCTTGGAGCTGTTCTTGCAATAATGAAATCTGGTTGTTTAAAAGTGTGGAGCATCTCCTGCTTCATCCCCTTACTACTACTCTGGCCATGTGACCTGTGTGCTTCCCCTTTGCCTTAGGGCTATGAGTGGAAAGCCTTACAGAGGCTTTTCACTTGCTGTATCAAATAGTTCCTATAAAATATACCTTAGAATTATTGTAAAAGACTTTTGTTAATCACTTAACCTGTAATAAAAATATTTCTAATGACAATTTCTGAAAACTGTATAGAAGGTAGCTCCATATTAAATTTTAAAATCTCTAAGAAACGAAATTAAAGCTATAAAAAACATGCATTTATGCTACCCTATTGGAAAAATGTATGAGAAATCTTACCTCAATTTTCTCAGGAAATTCTAATCTTTGGTCATATGATACTTTCTAGTTAGTACATTATTCTTATGTTTTTTAATACAAAGCACAACCAAACCAAACACAAACAAAAATCAGAGGTGCAAATAAGAGAAGAGCCAGATGACTTGATCTGCCTGCCAATGAATAAGCAAATACTTACCTGTAGGGGGAGTGGAAGAAACAACAGGGGGAGTTGGAGAAGTGAAGCCATCAGCAAGGGTCTGGGCACCCCCAGCAGCAGCGTCTGGGGCAGTGGAGGAAGGGACAGTAGCAGGAACAAGAGGGGCAGGGGCAGATGCAGAAGTAGCAGGAAGGGGAGGAGTGCCAGCAGAGCCAGCAGGGGCTGAGGGGAAAGAGGAGTAACAGGCAGCATTAACGAGGCAATCACATGAAGCAGGATTAGAAAAGATATTAGAGTATTTAATGTTAGATATTCAGTGTTTAACACTAACCAAAAGAATAGAGTTGAAAAAAAGAAAGGTGTTCCCTTCGTATTATTTTTAATTTAACATTCTGTAACTAGTATAAAAAATTAACATAATACACTAAAAAACAAGTTTTCCATTTTGAATTACACAAACCAGAAAACAGATATATTCCAGATATCAGGTAAAAAAATGAATTTAACTGGGTGCAGTGGCTCACGCCTGTAATCTCAGCACTTTCGGAGGCCGAGATGGGGGAATCACCAGGTCAAGAGATGAGATCATCCTGGCCAATATGGTAAAACCCCACCTCTACTAAAAATACAAAACTTAGTCGGGCGTGGTGGTGCATGCCTGTAGTCCCAGCTACTCGGAGGCTGATGCAGGAGAATTGCTTGAACCCAGGAGTCAGAGGTTGCAGTGAGCCAAGATCACGCCACTGCACTCCAGCCTGGTGACAGAGCCAGACTCCGTCTCAAAAAAAAAAAAAAGAATTTAATTTAAAACACAAATCTTTTTATGATTTTTAAAAGGTATTATCTACTTGTTGTTATAAGTAAATTAAGTATGTAACATTCTATTAATGACTTTTGTGTCATCTTTTTAAAACTAAGTTTTAAGTGTGTATCTCCTCAAATCAAATAAGCAGATTTTTCGGTTTCAGAGAAAAGAGGGTAGCATTTTCAGAGACTACTAAATTTCAATACATCCACTAAATTTAACTGTCAAAACTAATTTTTATATTTGCCCAATCTTTTGTTATTAATTTCATTCTCACACTGAGTCCCCACTGTGTCCAAAAACTGCACTGTCATAACACTAGCTGGAATTAAACATGTAACTCATACTAAAGTATGATCCGAAACCTTAAGGCAGCAATGGAGCCATATAGCACCAAATGCATTAAAAAGTGCAAAGTGAGAACACAAATCACTTGCATACAAATAACAAATATATAAAGACTTAACAATATTTACGATTCCTAAAAAAAATCATGATTATGAAGAAAGCCCACCATAATTAAATCACAAATTGAAATAAAATTCGGAAAAGAAAAGTGAAGATGAGGCACCATGAATGTTTTACCTGGAAAGACACTGGGAGGAGATGGAGTAGGAACAGCAATAGGAACCCCCACACTCCCACTTCCACTGTTCTCTCGACTGCTGCTCCGACTACTTGGGTGGCTCCCTCCACTACTCCCACTGCTGCTAAAGAAATAAGAGCCACCAAAACATGAGCATTTATAAAAAGTAAGAGATCATCAGCACTTCCCAACATTTTCCGAGATGAATGTAGCTACAATAAAGGTAATTCAAAAGCATTCCACTTCAAATAAAAATTCCCTTGAGCTTCAAGTCAGTGACAGGTAAAATATATACATACATATATACTCCATATATATATATATTTCTTAATAAAATAGAGGGAAAAACTGAGTTCAGTAAGCTTGTTTTGACCACATTTTGAAAAAACTATCCATAAATATATGTGATAAATATTGAGGTTTAACACATTAAAACAATAAATACTGCCTTCTTATATTCCAGTTTAATGCGTATCTGAAGAAACTTCTTGTATAATAAAAACATTTTCCTGAACAAATTTGAGTAATTTTAATTCATAATCATACTCTGATGTACTATCCCATATTAGTGTTTTAGTATGTATAGTTTTTCATCTGTAAAGTTCCACCAAAAAACAACCTGACATTTCCCACATTTGGTCCATTTTTTTTTCCAGATCAACGGAACTCTTAACACTTGGAGAGAAGTCTGCACTTCAAGATGTCTGTTCTTTATCAACTTCCTGACTGCTCAAAGTTGCATCAGAACATGAGGAGAGAGAGGTGGAATCAGATGAGGTTTGGAAGAGTAGAGTGAGGAAAAGAACTTAGTGCTTGGAAAATGAGAGATTTAGCTGAAGTAATCTGAACAGATTATGGTACTATGACCATCACATTTTGCACTGAGGTAGAGAAAATACCTGTAAGTTCGATTTCTTTGATTCACAGAAGCTGTCCTCACAGGGCTCTGCTGCGAGGGAGCCATATTACGGGTTGGGCTAGGTACGTAATCATTTGGTACCACTGGAGGACGCACTGGCTCCAGTGTGCGATAGGGGGAGTGCCGCCTACAAAAAGAAGAGCGTATGTATTGTATGATTAAGCAAGTTTCGGCACAATAAATTCAAAGAGTTGCCAGCAGTGAGATACAATTTGTAATCAGAGATAGGAAATGTGTTTTAACATAACCCAGCTACCAATTTCAGTCTTTCCTAATGTATCACTTTTCCACCAACAGGGTTTTGGCAAATATTGTTATTTTTCCGTCTCCAACCTCACTTCCTGGTGCTAATGCAATTTTGTTCATTTATTCTCAAAGAGCACAAAGGTTCTCTACCACTTAAGCCAATGTTTCCCAGACCCTACTCTCTTCTTAGAAGAGTCTGAATTCTTTTAGTATCGTATTAGTCTCCCAACTGTACTTCCTAAATGCACTGATTATTCTCCTCTCCCTTCTCTACCTAACCAAAAATATTCAGATAGGAACTACAAATATAGGTTTTGGATCTATACCCCCCACACTGATAATCAGTACTAGCCATAACTTACTTCCCTTTCTATATACTAAATATACAGAAATTAAAGTACATCTGTATACAAAAATACACAGTTTAATCTCATCTTCCATTCTCACTTTCTCCCTCAACTTTCACCGTGATCTGTTTTCTCTTTCCCTCCTCAGAGTTCAACATGTACAAAGATAGGGGGAAGGAAATGACCACCACAACAGCCTTTATACATTATTTACTTTGAACTGCAAAATATAAACCAGAGAAGATTTTATTAACACATATTTCCCTTTTCCTCAAAATTTCCTTTGAAAGAGGAAGAAAGGAAATATGACAGGAAACAGGATGCACATGGGAAAATTAGTAATTATTATATTAGTTCTCATCTCTAAAGTTTCCAAATTCTTTATGACAATGACAAATAGTCAACTGACATATTATAGATGAGATCTTACTCATTAAAAGAATAAAAACTCAACTGGGTGCTATTAAAGTCTATAATCCCAGCACTTTAGGAGGCTGAGGTGGGCAGATCACCTGAGGTCAGGAGTTCAAGACCAACCTGGCCAACATGGTGAAACCCTGTCTCTACTAAAAATATAAAAATTATGCAGGCATGGTGGGCACCTATAATCCCAGCCACTTAGGAGGCTGAGGCTGGAGAATCGCTTGAACCTGGGAGGCAGAAGTTGCAGAGCTGAGATCACACCACTGCATACCAGCCTGGGCAACAAGAGTGAAACTCCATCTCAAAAAAAAAAAAGAATAAAAACTGATCAAGATGTGAAAGTTAAAAAGCTTTCTTTTCCTGAAATGATGTTGCTCTACTGACTTATGTATGGATCCCAGAGTTCCTTTAACTATTACTCTCCTGGGGCACTCAAGTTATGGATCACTGATTTTGGATGCGATCACTTTGCAATGACCTAATTCATTCTACTGCTTTTCAAAGTCTCCTTACATAAATATACACATTGATAATTAAAAAAATAAGGGATATTGGATAAAATATTGGGTCAAAAAAGGAAAAAGGAATGTGAGGACTTTGGATACTAAAAGGAAGTTCCAGTATCTCTTAAATTATAGTACAAATATTAAAAAATAAAATGGGAAACATTAATTTTTCAAACATCTAATTTTTAGACAATTTTTCCCAGACAATAAAAATGTTTTGTTGTGGCTGGGTGCAGTGGCTCACGCCTATAATCCCAACACTTTGGGAGGCTGGGGCAGGCAGATCACTTGAGTTTGAGACCAGCCTGGCCAACTTGGCAAAACTTCGTTTCTACTAAAGATACCAAAATTAGCTGGGAATGGTGGTACACACCTGTAATCCCAGCTACTTAGGAGGCTGAGGCAAGAGAATTGCCTGGAGGCAGGAAAATTGCTTGGGCACAGGAGGCAGTGGTTACAGTGAGCCAATATCACAATACTGCTCTCCAGTGAGAGACTGTCTTAAAAAAAATAAGTTCTGCTGCATCAAAGTAAAAACCTTCGATATCTGAGAACTATACAGTGAAGACAATGACACAAAGAAGATTAAAAAAAAAAAAAAAAACGAGCAAAGGAACAAAACATGGTGACTAGGCAAAGACAATGTGGGAAAAACAGGTTACAGCTGTCAACTAGCAGAGTGGGCCTCAGCAACTCTGGTCCCCAAGGATCCTGGAGAACCACTGCTAATATACAAGGAAAACAAACACCGGTATATGAGCAAATATTCAAAACTTGAGAACAACACTAAGTTTCTCTAGGGACTAAGTGGCTTATCTTGCTAACAATCTTGATTTAAAACCCAACAAAATCCGTAAGGCACTGTACATGTCACAAATGTAAACATTTCCACAGGAAAATAAAAACAGAGTCCCTCTTCATCTCTCTACTCTCACCCCTAGCACCATAATACACCACTATGTAATCTACATTCTACCTTGAAGTTTAAATCTTGACGCACTAAATTTTCTAAGCAGAATTATTTTATCCACCCCAAATAAAGTCATTCTATCCCTGGCTGGAATTCATTTTTATTCTTTGGTCTCCTACTGTCCTATTATTCCTCTTCCAACACTATCCTCCACTATATCCTAAATCATCTTTGTCCTATCCTGATTCACAGTGCTTAATTGGGTTTTGGTTTTTTGGTCTGTGGTTGTTTTTGTGGTGGTGGTGGTGGTGGTGGTGGTAGTGGTGGTAGTGGTGGTGAGGGAGCCAAAAATAAGACTGTCAATTAAAAACTTGTTTAGCATATATCATAAAGCCAATGGTTGTCAAAACATTTTGTCTTTGTCTTATACATTTTTAAAAATCCAATTTGTGGTACAGTGACCCTGAAAAGTTGATAGAGGATAAATATTACCCCCCCCCCCCTTTTACAGATGAAAACACTGAATTCTCAGCGGCTGTCTATGTAGGATCTACGAAGTAACAGCACAGTTGAACTAGAATTTTAATCATCTGGCTTCTGGGCTATACTATGCCAACCTAATCATAAATCTCAATCACAGCTCACTGCAATCTCAACCTCCTGTGCTCAGGCATCCTCCTGTCTCAGCCTTGAGAGTAGCTGGGACTATAGATGCATGCCACCACATCAGCTTATTTTTGTATTTTTCATAGAGACAGGGTTTCACCATGGTGCCCAGGCTGGTCTTGAACTCCTAGGCTCAAGTGATCTGCCCACTTCGGTCTCCCAAAGTGCTGGGATCACAAGTGTGACCCACACACCTGGCCTAAAGCTCAATATTCTTATAAGTTTGACAGAATTTTATAATCTATACAGCTTTGTTAAAAAGAATAGTTGGAGTTAAACTGTAATATAAAAGACTATATAAATTTTCTGAAAGAAGAAAAATTAAAATTAGACTGCGATCTACAATAAACCACGAACTTGGTCTAGGATTTTACCTCAAATTTAAAATTCCCTAGAAAAACAATTTATAGGTCAGCCACGGTGGCTCACGCCTATAATCCCAGCATTTTGGGAGACCAAGGCGGATGATGCATGAGGTCAGGAGATCGAGGCCAACATGATGAAACCCCATCTCTACTAAAAATACAAAAATTTTTAGTAGAGGCTGAGGGAGGAGAATCACTTGAACTTGGGAGGCAAATACTGCAGTGAGCCAAGATGGCACCACTGCACTCCAGCCTAGCAACAGAGTGAGATTCCATCTCAAAAAAGAAAAACAATTTCTAAACAAATCTTTTTGAAGTATAACAACATGATTCCCAAGAGAAGAGAAAGTTATACATACAAAAAAGAATCCTACAAAGAAAATATTCTCTCCTCAAATATTCAAAAAATAATTTAAATATATGTTATGCTTCATTTTTAAACAATACTACATGAAATGGTTTTCAATTACTACTTAGTTATATACTCACCCAAGTGTCCCTTTCCCTGACATAGGGGGACTAGGGGGTTTCTGAGATGGAGGTGTTGTACGCGGCAGCCCACCCATCTTCATGTTCTGGGTACTGACCTAAAAAATTTTAAGGAAAACTCAACTTGTTTGCAGTGAAATAAAGTGGCACTTTTGGGAAATAATGCTATGCTACAAAACAAAGGAGGGGAAGGTTTAAATACACGGAAAAAATTAGAGGCCATGCATTTCATATGCAATTTCTACTCTACTATTATTCTACAGTTGTACTCAAAGGACTCTTCCTAATGTGAGATTTTCAAATCGTTATAAACTTGTATGCAAAGACTTTATTTGCCATTAGGCCATCACACCAACAGATCACTGGTTAGACTATCTGATATTACATTCAATTAAAATTAAATAGACTACAAAATTTTAGTTTTTATAAAGAGTAACAACAAAAACAATAATGCTTTTAAGCAATTCCTTATTTTTGAAGATAACTTTCTTTTTTTTTTTTGAGACAGAGTCTCACTCTGTCACCCGGGCTGAAGTACAGTGGCATGATCTTAGCTCACTGCAACCTCTGCCTTCCAGGTTCAAGCAATTCTCCTGCCTCCGCCTCCCAAGCAGCTGGGACTACAGGCACACGCTGCCATGCCTGGCTGATTTTTTGTATTTTAGTAGAGATGGGGTTTCACCGTATTGCCCAGGCTGGTCTTGAACTCCTGAGCTCAGGCAATCCACCCGCCTCGGCCTCCCGAAGTATTAGGATTACAGGCGTGAGCCACTGCGCCCGGCCAGTAACTTTCTTTAGATAGCAAGCACATCATAAGCAAGATACAGTTCCCAAATAAAAATATGCAACTATGCATATGATCCACTGTAAACAGAAAATATAAAGATAAATCATATAATATATACAGCAAATTTTAGTTTTTTAAATTGTGGGCTACCTTTTAAGTCAGATTTAGTTAGTATCTTCTTACGAGGGAATCACCTACCTGAAAACTGCTAGAAGTTCAAGCCATGTTCCTAAACATCTGAACCAGAAAGTTAGGGCTGAGGTATCCCATTCAACTGGCAATGTCCTCGTTCCAATGGGAATCGGACCCACTCAGGCCCAAACTGAAGGTGAATTCAGGTATGAGAAAGATGTGACATAGTCCTAAGTCAGAGCTGGACTGTAACTCCACTCACTATTCTATCCCCAACTGAAAATGCAAGCGTGGGAAAGACGGGTAATCTGGGAATAATGGAGGTCACCAAAGGAATATGTCAGCACTTATAGAGAAAGCCCTGGCTATCTCAAAAAACTGAGAAAGGTCATTCACAAGTGTAGTTCAAATGCAGTCTCAAGTTGAGACTACCAATGGATGTTAATGTTCACCACACAGGTTCATCTCTGATCCTATTTTAAGATCCTAATATTTTGAAATGCCATCTTCAAAACATATTTCAAAAAAGGACCTCAACTTTTCCAAAAAGAATATGGCTAGAGTAGTGAAATTATACTTCCTAAATAAAACTGCAAGACATTATACCACTGAAATCAGAATACATTTATAACTGTAACTTCAGAATATAAATTGTAAGAAAGCAAATCATAATTGTATACAGAGTACTGAGGCTATCAAAACCAACCCTGACTTAAGTGGAATTTTTAAAAATCCTAAAATACTACTTGTTATTTGAATAGGCAAGAAATACTATCTCAAGAAACAAGTTCTTCAAATGAATAGCCCAGTGAACAAGTTGTGTGTGATGTTAAAACAATCTTTAATGACAAATGATAACTTTGAAATGTCAGTATTTTAAAGTGAAGCATTTATCTGTAATCCTTTTGTTGTTGCTTTTAAACAATAAAAACAAAACAAACATTAACAAGTAAGAGGTAAAGATTAACTTATCCTTGCTCTCCCTCTCATCAATAAGCAGAGGGTATACTACTTGTATGTTAAAATGAAAATGTCAGAAAATTTTTTTTTCAAAAAATCAATCCACATTTGGGGAAAATTTTAGGAGTAATATGACAAATAATAAATAGCTTTTAAAACTGCATTATCTTAATTTCTGATGCCAGAAGATTTCTAAAGTGGTAACCAAAGTCCTTTAAGCTCAACCTTAAACAACATAAAACCCAAAGGTACTTTAAGTGATGAGGGAGAAGTAAACCAAACACTAAAACTACATCAATTTGCTAGAAACAAGAAGGAAAAGGAGCAGGAATTTAAAGTAGAATTTTATTCTATACATGGGATAGCTAAAATACTTGAAAACAGCTGTCCAACTTTTATTTGTTTCAGGTTTTGGTATGCAAGGCGTTTTTGTTTAAATTGCAGTATCTTCTGTAAGTCTTTGAACTTGCCCAAAAAATAGTGTAAAATAAACAATCTATATATTAAAATCTGGTAGACATTTCTTTTTTTTTTTTTGAGATGAAGTCTCACTCTGTCACCCAGGATAGAGTGCAATGGCATGATCTCGGCTCACTGCAACCTCTGCCTCCTGCATTCAAGCCATCTCCTGCCTCAGCCTCCCAGGTAGCTGAAATTACAGGTGCATCACCACACCTGGCTAATTTTTGTATTTTTAGTAAAGACGGGGTTTCACCACGTTGGCCAGGCTGGTCTCGAACTCCTGACCTCAGGTGATCCACCCACCTCGGCCTCCCAAAATGCTGGGATTACAGGTGTGAGCCACTACGCCCAGCCAACATTTCTGTAAGTATAACCTGGTACATTTTACGATCTGTAGAATTGTCAAATGACTGTATTTGATTGGTTAATGGAATCGGATGACTAGCCTAAGTCAGAGTCCGTGTAGAATGTTCAATCTATTTTTATACCTCACTAATATTTCATTACTTTTCTTTTAAGCTAGAAGAGTTTTTCAGTATTTCCTTAAGGCACTTTTTCCCTTGTTAAAAATGTTCCTATGCTAAGTAAAAAAAAATATGCTATGCAGAATACAAATACTTCCATCAAATTTGAAGAAAAGAACAGAAATAAATGCCAAACAAAACAATTTTTATAATAGGTGAAATCTATATTATAAAGTTAAGTGATATTTCAGACCTAAAATAATTTGGCAAAAATAAAAATATATTTACTTGACAGCCATCATGATTGATCCTAAAACAACTATTTTGAGAGAAGTATTTAAGATATAAAACATTTCCTGACAAGTAGCAAAACACGAGGTATCTATGTGCTGATGGAGAGGACGTTAACGAGAGAGAGAGAGAGAGAGAGAGAGAGAGAGAGAGAGAGAGAGAGAGAGAGAGAGAGCGCGCACGCGAGCGCAGGAGCACATGAGAGAGTAAGCGCATGTGCACGAGAGAGTGAGAGATTGCAAACACACCATAAACTCAAGACAAGGAAAAGCAATAATGAAGCCACTTCATAACAGCAATTTCACTTGAAATATTTTTTAAAGTTACAAAAATAGCAGAACTATCATCTGGCACATATAACAGTTAAGGGAATTAGAATGATACTCTGGTGGCTGATACTAATGATGCTTTTGTTATTTATTTTTTATATTCCATAAAATGAAAAGTCATCAAGAGCTAAGTGAAGCAGGTATTAAGTACAAGAAAGAAAAGTTGGAAAAGTCCCCCTACCAGAAAGAAACCTCCAAAACAGAAGAAATATTTCATTTAGGTAATGAAGGTTAATGCATGGCCACAGCTCACTTTCCCACTGGGCTATGATGAAGGAAAGCAAATAACACTGGAGGTAGGAGCAGTTCCCTTATGACCAGGCTTTGGAGATCACTACAACTGGCACCACCCATTAGGCCAATTATCGTGACTTAATACTTTTTCTACAACGCTCCTACCTATCTTGCTCTGCCTTCTTTGTTCAATACCTCCTTGAATACTGACATAATATTCATCACAAATATCATGGCTGGCCAGCCAAGTATCTCTAATTCAAAGAAGACATCACCTCTGCTATGAAATCTCCCATTAATAGATGATGTGCTACAAGAGAAGAGTGGCAGACACACTCTAAAATGTTATGTGTGATATACCCCTCATTAGCCTCCTATTACTAGGTAGTAGTAGCCTCAGACTACTAGGTACAAGAGTAAAGACATGTGAAAAAAAGAAAAAAAGGAGGTAGCCTGGGGGTTAAAAAAAGGAGGAGACACAATGGTTTATAAAAGGATTTCTCTGCTTTAAAGGCATTTTAAAATAAATAAGACTCACATGCTTTAAATAAAAAGCAATGCCTGGCCAGAACAGTGGCTCGTGCCTATAATCCCAGCACTTTGGGAAGCCAAGGTGGGCGGATAGCCTGAAGTCAGGAGTTCAAGACCAGCTTGGCCAATATGGCAAAACCCCGTCTGTAATATTAGCTGGGCATCATGGCAGGCACCTATAATCCTAGCTTCTCAGAAGGCTGAGGCAGGGAGAATCACTTGAACCCAGGAGGCAGGGATTTCAGTGAACCAAGATCACACCAAAAAAGAAGCAGTGTCTACAGGTCTACAGATTCCATAGAAATCAACAAAAAAGAAGTATCAATGTGGGAAGAAATTGTTAAGAAAGATTTCATAAAGAAAAACCTGAGGAACAATTTCCTCAACCTGTTAAGTTTTTAAAGAATAGGATTCCAGCCTGGGCAACACAGCAAGACCACCTATTTTTATTTAAAAAAGAAAAAAAAAAAAGCCAAGAGTGGCTGTAGTCCTGCTTCTCCAGAGGCTGAGGCAGGAGGATCACTTGAGCCCAAGGATACAGTGAGCTGCAACCCACCTATTTTAAGCAAAAGGACTTTCTGCACAATTCCACATCTAACTCACCATGACTGAGGATTTAGAACCAACAATCCAATCAGTAATACAGGAGTCCATATATCTGGGCTCTTCCAATCGACTACCTACCATGAGCAGGTGAAAGTTGTGTGGCCATGATTAGTAGTACTAGTTAATGATTCAGAATTCAGTCATCTTGTCATCACTTTCTACACTGAAGATATGGCAAATAATGGGTGTTAGATGGGAATAATATATATTTTTAAAAAATAATAAAGCTCACCTATGAAAAAAGATCAAAGAAGAAATATATGCTAAGTTTGGCATATAATTGTAGTAACCTTCTATTTTAGGCAGGCTTCTTGAATATAGTTGAATTTCTTTTATCATGAATCCTTCAAAATACCAAAACGTTATTGAAACGAATCATAACAGGAAATAGCTCTAATTCATAACTGATATTTTGTTAAACATTATCATGAACTTTTGATGTTCTGCATATAATTATATTCACTTTTAAAAGCTCTGAAAGTTTATACTGAAATATATTCTTCATACAGCTATTTGGGAAGAAATGAGTAATTTTTTTCCACAAAATATGATACTGCAACTTAAAAAAAAAACCTGTGTCACTGAATATGTTCTGCTTCTCAATTTCTTTATACAGATTAAGTTAAAATATAATGACATATTGTCCATAAGGTATATCAGAAAGCACACCATTTATAGAATAAAAAAGCTATTACACAGGGGGAGGGTTAAATAAAGCACATTAATTGGCCCTCCAATTTATAATAAAGTCTCTATATTAATAAAATCCAGCTAATTATATTTCATAACATTTTTATAAGAGGGTAGCTTACATTTCCATTTCACAAAATATATTAACATTACAAAATAACCATTCATTCAACAAATATTTACTAAGCACCTAATGTGTGTCTAGATACTGTTCTAGGCACAAAGAATAGAGCAGTGAACAAAACAGACAAAAATATCTGCCCCCAAGGAACATGAAGACACACCACAAAGTTGCATGACAAAAAAAAAAAAAAAAAAAGGAGGAATTATTTATTGGATTTTAAAAGGCCAAGTGTTAACTATCTCTTTAACTCCCCATATGTAATACTCTACATAAGAACAAAGAATGGAAATCCAGCCCTGGAATCTCTTACCTTAAATCTAAGCAACCACTTAATGCATAAATGGAGCAAATAAAAGAGGTAAGGAAAAAAAGCATTGAAAGGTTAGTTGAAACTTCAGGATGTGAAGAGAAAGGAAAAAAAGAAAAAACAAGTTAAGCATTCAGCATTAACAAAATAATGTTTCAGTAGATCATAGAAAGAGTGGTTAAAGCAGAATGTGTCATGAACAGAAGTCTCTGATGAATTTAAGACACTGTTTTATTAAAAAATTTAATTTTATTAAAGATTTCTTCATATTAATGACCCTTAAACACTGAAAGTCAAAAAATGAAGGTGCTAGAATCCTAAAAAAATAAATAAATTTTACTTAGGGGATTATAAGAACGGAGGATGTAACCTACGAATTATTTCTTTTTAAAATGGGGGGATTACCTTTTTCTTAATGTAATTGGGCAAACACAAATGTCATAGTTTATATTCTAAGTGTCTTTTTGGCATTAGATTCTGGCAGTATTCTAAAATATTCCATTAGCAGTTGTTAGCCTTGAATAAATTTTCCCAAGTTAGAATAAAGTTCAGTTATTAATTAACCATCCAATTACATATCTTATTTTAACATGCTCTTATGAGTATAGTAATCTAAATGCATGTAGGTATCAGCTATACAATTAAATATTGGGCAGGCACAATGGCATAAATCTGTAATCCGAACATTTTGGGAGACCAGGGTAAGAACATCACTTGAGGATAGGAGTTCATGACCATCCTGGGCAACACAGAAAGGCCTAACAAAAATTTCAGCTCAGCATGGTGGTATGTGCCTGTAGTTCCAGGGAAGCTGACAAGGAAGATCACTTGAGCCCAGGAGTTCAAGGTTGGAGTGAGCTATGATTGTGCCACTGCACTCCAGTCTGAGTGACAGAGTGAGACTCTGCCTCAAAAAAGTTAAATTAAATATCAAATTCCAGATAATAATGCTTGCATCAAAACTCTGAAGGGATAGATTTTAAAAATAAATTTACAGTGTATATTTTCTTTATATCTAGATCTACATTAAATTTAGATTTAACTAATTTCCATCCATAACAGTATATTTTTTATTTAAGTATTAGATTATTAGAAAAAAATCAACTCCATGATCTGTACAGTATCATTATAAGCATGTAGGTTTATTTAGTCACATTTGATAAGTCACTGTCTTTCAAACTACTGATCAGATATAATGTTCTTGCCCAAAATGTTGGGATAAAATTACTTTAGAAAAATTCGAAGTACATGTTTATTAATATACGTTGTTTTTGGAAACTAATGCCAAAAGTCTGCTGATAAATACTTGAAATAAGGTAAACACTTTAATAATAATATCCTGAATGATTTTTTTAATCAGTCATATTAAATTAAAATTGGAAAGATTACACTACACTAATTTAGTCGATCCATAGGAGGTATTATCATAACTAAGCAAATACAGTTCATTCAAAGATGATTAAAACTTGAGAATACAGCACTAAGAAAAAGCAAAAAGGGTAAAACAGTTATAGTAGCAAAGAATCTTCACAACCACAACTGGCCCAAGACTTGTCCTCTAGGAAAGAAAGATAAAAAGCTTAATTTTCTCAAGAGTTAGTTTCATTACAGGTTACTACTTTTAAAAGCTTGAAAAAAATTATACCTACCTTTACTCCATGTCCAATATCATCTAGAATTGTATAGTCAATAGGTTTTCTAATATAATGAACTGGTCGTTCAAGGTTGGCTGGAGCAATAATCTTATGCGTCCTTGAAGTGTTTTTATTGGTAGTCAAAATACCAATTTCTCTTCTTGCAACTTTCTCTTTATGAATATCAACTGTCTGCAAAATATAATGTAAAAAAAAACACAAAAATATATAGTTCTAATATCCACAAAAATCAAAATATATATGCCAAGAAATTTAATATTGCTACTCATCTTCTAAACTATGCTTACTAAATTTTATCCTTCTGGACTACTGATTTTCTCCATTTTTAAGTTAAAGCAAGGGCTGGTACACCATGGCCCACAGGCCAAATCTGGCCTGCCACCTAGTTTTTATAGCCTACAAGCTAAAAGTGGTGTTTATATTTTTTAATGTTTGGGGGGGGGAAAAAAAAAAGAAAAAAATACCTTGATGTGAAAATTATATAAAATTCAAATTTGCTTTTCCATAAGTAAAGCTTTATTAGAATACAGCCATACTGCCCACTTGCTTGTGTAGGCTACTTTTACACTATAATGGCAGAGATGAGCCATAACAGAGATGGTATGGCCCACAAAAACGAACGTATTTATTAGCTGGCTCCTTTACAGAAAAAGTTTGCCAACCCCTGGGTTAAAGCATGCTAACTTTTCCCTCTCCATTAAGATTTAGCCTAATATAATGATTAAGAAAGCCCCCCAAATTAATTTAGTTACATTTTTAATGACCTATTAGTATAGTTTCTATTCATATTTAAACATCTTTTTATTTAAAAAGGAAGAGGGCTGAAATAAAATGTTAAAAATAAAGCCAGGCACAGTGTGGCTCAGGCTTGTAATCTGAGCACTTTGGGAGGCCAAGATAGGCAGACTTCTTGAGTCCAGGAGTTCATGATCAGCCTGGGCAACATGGCAAAACTGTGTCTCTACAAAAAGTAGCTGGGTATGATGGCACATGCTTATGATACCAGCTATTTGAAAGGCTGAAGTGAGAGGATTGCCTGAGTTCAGGAGTTTGAGGCTACAGTGAGCCATGATTGTACCACTGCACTCCAGCCTTGGTGGCAGAGCAAGACCCTGTAACAAAAAGCAAAAAAGCCGTTTTTTGACCCAAAAAGACAAAGTTGCTTGGGCAAAGCTGCTTATCATGACAAAATGCCTGTAAAATACTTCATTAACTTATTTATATTAAATGCTCATATAGGACATAATTTAGTATAGAATTAAGAATGTATTCTTACAGTCTTCTATTTGCTACCAGAGGATGAATTTCTCCACATACACAGGTAATTGGTACACTAAAGCAAAATTTTTTAAACTGCAAACTAACTTAGTGGTATGTAAGCAGCAATTATTTCAAACCAAATATAAAAGAAATATCAGACATATATACATAGTGAGGTAAAAGTACTGTTTCTTGAAAAGTCTGTTTATTATGTAAATATATACATGAATTATGTACTGAATACCATGTCAAAAAAATTTTTTTCATGTGGGTTGCAGTCAAAGAAGTTTGAAAAATCACTTCACTAAAACGGTTCACATGTCTTACCACCAATTCGTGGCTCAAGCAGCAATCAATAGACACATATTTTAATAACTCCTCCCAGTCCTACTTCAATTTCCCCTTTCTAAAAGAACTTGGAAGTAACAATGAAATGAAACATAATCATCACAACATTATGAAATACTACTTTAAGAAATCTGAACACTGATCATTTGTCTTTCTAAACTGCCTGAAGTATGTGGTAAACCTGAAACAAATTCAAAGCCCTTACCACTCTACAACCAGGGGATCTTAAAAACAGGATCTATGTTTCAGAGCTAATGAATGTATAAATGGAACATCAAATGCAAAACCAACCATGGTAGTAATTGTATAAGTATTTATTTTTAAGAAAAAAATAATCTCTGAACTTTTTCTGTGCATGTTAGGCTAATTATGAAAACAGCTTTCCTCTTCAGCTGCTTAGAAAAACTATAACAGAAAAGAGAAGTTTGCATATTAGTGACAATATTGGAATTCACTTAATTTTTAACTTTAGAGAAACAGAAATTAAACACACTTTGAATAAAGTTTATTTTTATGAGACAGTGTCTCACTCTGTCACCCAGGCTGGAGTGGAGTGGCGCAATCAAGGCTCACTGCATCCTTGACCTCCCAGGCTCAAATGATTCTCCCACCTGAGCTTCCTGAGGAGCTGAAACTACAGGTGTGTTCCACCATGCTAGCCTAATTTTTGTACTGTCTGTAGAGTTGGGGTTTCTCCATGTTGCCCAGGCTGGTCTTGAACTCCTAAACTCAAGTGATCCACCCCCCTTGGCCTCCCAAAGTGCTGGGATTACAGGAGTGAGTCAATGTGTCTGGCCTTGAATAAAGTTTAGTGAGTCATCCTGAATCATTAAATGTATGGGCTAGGGTTGGGGGCCATGTCTCATGCCTGTAATCTTAGCACTTTGAGAGGCTGAGGCAGGTAGATCACAAGGTCAGGAGTTCAAGACCAGCCTGGCCAAGATGGTGAAACCCTGTCTCTACTAAAAATACAAACATTAGCTGGGCTTGGGGGCAAGTGCCTGTAATCCCAGCTACTAGGGAGGCTAAGGCAGAGAAATGCTTGAGCCCAGGAGTTGGAGGCTGCAGGGAACTGAGATCATGCCAGTGCACTCCAGCCAGGTCAACAGAACTAGACTCTGTCCCAACAGGGGGAAAAAAAAAAAAAAGTATGGACTAGAAATATTATTTCGTACTATTAAGTATGCTTCAAAAATAAAATATGACTTTTTAAAATACAATGCCTTTGTCAGATCAATAAAAAGTTCATCAGAAAATAGAATCCTTAAGACATTGTTTTTATTATTCTCAGTTTTTAGAAATGTACTTAACTTATTCAGAAATGAAACAAGCGTGTAAACCTGACCAACCATAACAGAATTACAAGCTTATAGCTTTTATTTCAAATCTTCACACCGGAAATATACATTTTTTTGAGACAGGATCTCACTTTGTCACCTAGGCTGCAGTGCAGTGGCACGATCATAGCATACTGCAGTCTTGAACTCCTACACTCAAGCAATCCTCTCACCTAAGCCTCCTGAGTAGGTAGGACTACAGGCGTGTACCACCACATGCAGCTAATTTTATTTTTTGTAAAGATGAGGCGTCATTGTGTTGCCCAGGCTGGTCTTGAACTCCTGACCTCAGGCAATGCTCCTGCCTCAGTCTCCCAAAATGCTGGGATTACAGGCATAAGCCACCGTGCCTGGCACAAACTAGAAATATTAATAAATCTCTGGAGAATGAACAGGGAGAAGTAATCTTCCACTTATTATTTGCACTATCACAGTAATATTTTATAACAAGCACATATTTCTGAATTGTTGGAAAAACTGAGACTTAAAAAAGCATTAAAACATAAATTAGAAATCTGGTCAGGTCCAGTGGCTCACGCCTGTAATCCTAGCATTTTGGGTGGTCGAGGCAGATGGATCACAAGGACAGGAGTTCGAGATCATCTTAGCTAACACAGTGAAACTCAGTCTCTACTAAAAATACAAAAAAATTAGCCAGGCGTGGTGGCAAGTGCCTATAATCCCTGCTACCCAGAGGCTGAGGCAGGAGAATTGCTTGAACCCAGGAGGCGAAGGTTGCAGTGAGCTGAGATCGCACCACTGCACTCCAGCCTGGGCGACAGAGCAAGACTCCATCTCAAAAACAAAACACAAAAATAAATAAATAAATATATAAGAACTCTGTTCATCTGATCTTAAAGAGATATGACTTGGTCTAGGGATTGAGAACATTTATATATTACCCATATGTTCTCTTCATACACACACTTAGCCCAAACCCATAGATCATAACAGTAAAGTAAAAAGAAGACCAATGCAGCAAATGAAAAGGTAACTATAAGCCTAAAATAAGGGGTCATAATATTATAATAGAGCAAAAAATTTGGCACTGAGCCTCCAGGGAAAGTAGAAAGATAATGAGTTACGAGGAAATATATCTGTTCTTCAGGAAAGTGCAATGTTTCCGAGGATTAAACCCTTAAAAAATATGTATTTGTTGTTGCTTCTTATATCAAATCTCAGTAAAAACGGAAGGCATATCTTTTAAACATAATTTTTTAACAGCGTAAGTGTACGGAAAGTCAAAATAATCTAGTTTGGGTATATGATGCTTCTAATTGTCTACTTCAAAAGAATGCCTACATCTTAGAAACACTAGGGCAGGGTAGCTCAACACTGGCACTACTGACATTTTGGGTTTGATAATTCTTTGTGTGGACAGGGGTGAGGGGTGCTGTCCTGAGGATTGTAGAATATAGAAAAGCATCCAGGTAGAAAACTGCAGCACTTCCCCACCATGAGATGTAATAAAAATGACTAATATTGCCAAATGTCCTCTTGGGGGCAAAACTTCCCTGGTTGAGAACCAATGATCTACAGAGGAAGGACTAATTAATCATCTGGTCTCTTATCTCATTCACTCTCAAATCCCAATTGTTTCCTAATTTTTTCAAAAGAGTTGATTCAAGATCAATGACTCTAATTTGCCTAAGTATACATATTTGAAGTAAATAACTTTTTAAAAACATCTATAATAATAAAGGTAATCTATCAAGGGTATAATTTGTATTCTTGCCATCATACTACCACACAGGGTTGAAATGCAGGAGTTCCTGTGGGCAGGAGCAAGTATGCCTTTAGAAAATGGCTATGGTTCTACTTGGAGTTTGAATAATTTGACAGAGAGCACTAAATCTATTTCATAAATAAGCAGAACATTCTGAGGTTGGGCCAGAAGATTCTGAGGTTTTCAGCAAACACCTGCTTCAATTTTTATTATAGCATCCACTTGTAGAAAATAGGCATATTCAAATTAGACAGAATAATAAACACTCCCTCCTCATACCTATTATGCAGCTTTAACATTCATAAATTCATAGCCAACTGTCAGTTGTAAGATAAATTTAGAAAATCTCCTGTAACATATTCTTAAATAAAATATGACCACTAAGTTTTCCCAAAATCAAATTCACAGCTATCAGTAATTATGGCCTTTGCCCTCATGATATTCTTCGACATTCCAATGTTATATTTCATTAAGTTAAATTCTGGAAGTACAAGTTCAAC